GACAACACTGTGCATCTGTTCTCTTTATACCACTGGAAGAGATGTTTTTGAAACAGCCACATAGCTACACATAGTCAAAAGGGAGAATTTTTTGTCATTTTATTAAGCAGGGCGAGGACAGACAACAGTGGAGTGGATCCTTGAGATGAAACTATACGCACAAGGAAAGCCTACAGCACTAAGACACTCCATATGCAAGCATGATTTCTTTTTTGCTTTTAATGTGGTTTCCCCAATTTTTCATTGGACATGAGATTACATCAAGACCAAATCAGCACAGCAAGATGGTTCTTGTCTATAGAATGGTGCCTTATGGTTTGCAAATCCACCAGTTGGGAAATAACTTCATGGTGTGAGGTCTGCCTAAATGAACCACGCTGAGTAATGCACAAGGAGATGTAATGAAGTGGATTTATGAGCAGTGATGGCAAGATTACAGAAGGTCTTTACGAGTGCTGATCTGGGTAATGGTCTATGTCTGTTGAAGATTTCAGAGCTGGAGGATTTGTCACATCCACCTCATAAACAAAGTGGACAACCTGATGTTATGTTTTCCACTCTGTTGGATCAGATTGTCATACAGTTGCAGAATGCTTGTGGGATCAAAGCAACAACCATTAATGTTGCTCAGAAGAAATGGCATGCAGAAAATGGAGCTGGGCATTTACAAAATACGTGTAGTGCCGTCTGCCACATATAGCAGTCATTCTTACAGACAGGAGCTCCAAGTGCACAGTGCGTCTTCGTGTAGAACAAACTAAAAATAACACTCTCTTGTCTCACTGGGAAAATTAGGTGTTTAATAAATCTGCTGAACTACATCTCCTGACAAGCTACAATTAAAGGACCCAGGAAAACACATCAGCTATTCACTTCTTGGACATTTAAACATTTAACATGCACCTTGGAGTCATATCCATCAAGTGTTGAGTTTGACAAAGCAGACAGCCTCCCTGCCCCTCCCCAAGACACGCACACACGGCATTACCGCACACACACATTTAAAGTTGTGTTTGGATATGTTTAGAATGTGTGTGATGAAATGGCACCAGCTGTGTACACTGGAGAGATGCACAAGGCCCCCTGGTTAAGAGAGTTAACCCCTTCCCTCCCGCTGGAGCTTAAGTGACAGCAGAGACAAAAGAAACCTGACGTACTATGCTTTGGACAAAAGAGGTTATTGCCCAGGGGTTAGCTAATGTGAAGCTACATTAATTCACTTCCTCCAGACCTTAAAATCTGTGTTGTTCCTGGTTTCCTTACATATGCATGTGTCAGTAGAGCTCATATAAACTAAGTAGTTCATGGCCTACGGCCCATTTCCCCCGCTCAGTAAAATCCTTTAAGAAGTGCATCATTTTGGGTCTTGAAGAACTTTCTAATCAGGGAATAACAGCAGAGCTAGTCTGTCATATTATAGCTTATGGATGATAAAATACAAAGCCGACAATAAACAAATTATCCAGAGTCCTTTATCAATATGTGGTCGAAAAACAACAAAATAAAGCATGTGTAGCTAAAGAGGATTTGTCATCAAGATCATTTCTCAGAAAAGACTTATTATGCTGCACATAAGGCTGTAATCCTTAACAACTGAGTCCAAGTTGATTTGGCACTACCTGTTGTTAATAGTCTGTGGTTTCATGCAACAGCAAACACAGCATGTGCATCTAAAAATCAGTGTACAGTGCAACCGCCAAACTATTAACCCTGCCTTAATCAGTAATCAGTTTGTTACCTTTGCAAGTTAATTGGTTGATGAAACATGTCTACAGTTTGGATTTTTTTTCCCAGACACAGTCAGCAAATATGATTTTTGAATATATAAATTGTTAAAATGCTGACAACATTATTTAAAAAAAAGCCTAGTCACAAATTTCTAAGATGTTTAATTATAGTTTGCCCTTTCCTTTTAAAATGCTTCATTAAGCACAAACTGTTGTATGTCTCTTAACAGCACTACACAGCAACACAGCAGAGATCCTGCAAGACTCCCCCCCCTTCTGTAGCTTTTGTCATGTACAAAGGCTACAGAATCTCATAGCAATGTGTTTATCTACATCCCTCTGCTATACTGCCATTAAAATACTCCAATGTATGGTCAATTCTCAACTGCAATGAATTATAATGTCTCAGTGGTGCTGGTATTAGTTTTCCAAATAAACCTTCAGTGTTAGCACCAGTGCAGGTGAGGAGTTTGTATTAACATCTGTTGGTGATTTCTTGGCGCCTGGAGGTAATGAAAGCCCACACTAAATGGATACTGTATCTGAAACATTATTAAACCTTTAGGAAAAAAAGACCAGATGGCAATAAATATGGCTATAACAGAGGGTCTCTTTCAAGAAACCATTAAACTCAATCACATTTGACTTTTACAAATACCAAAACTAGTTAAATCCAAACAGCTCTTTGTCTTTGGTTTATGTTGTGCCTGACTGAGGAGCTTGCCTAGAGAAAACAAGCAGCCTTAACCATGTTGCATCACTGAAATCTCTTTGAATAATAAATAAGTGCATATATATGTACGTGCTCATACACAGATTTAAAAAGTTTATCAAACTTCAAAAGGGAACTTTTATAAATTTTACCGACTACAACCTGGTGTTGTTAGAAGAATCCAAAGAGCCAGGAAAACCAATAGTCATTATCAGATAAATTGAAAACAACGCTATCTGAAGTAACAACCAATCAGTAAAAGTAGGAGCCTTGGTGTTTTTGCCCTTGAGCATACCTGTTCCGTGTTCACCCTCGAGTCAAGGTAGTTTAAGAGAAATAGACCCCACTGTGACAGCCTCGTCACTCACCCTGCACACGCTGTAGTCAATGTTTATAACCCACAGAAATAAGCCTTTACAATTTCAGTTTCAATAGAGAAACCGTGTTTAATTTCTCCAAACTGCAACAAGGGAATTTTTCTCACAAAATAGATTTTATATGAGAATTATTCAGCTTTGTGAAGTTGTGGCATGTTTCTCCTCAGCACCTTCATCTCTGTGCCAAAAAAAGGGAAAGAAATGGCAGCTTCATTAGTCATGACTGCAGCACCTAATTAAGTTTGTGCCACTCGTTTGGATTTTTCTGTAAATTTAAAAGAATCTCTGATGTTTGAAAGTGCCTCTGGGCCCTTCTGTCTCTCTTGTCATTAAAATTGAACATTTCCTGCGCCAGCATTTTGAGTGGGTATTGCCTGTTTTCAAATCAAAACTGTAAATCTAGTGAAAGTTTGGCTGCTCGCAAAAGGTGCTGTGACAGCTTATAAATAGATTAAAGAAGTAATGCTTCAGCTCTGTGACTTGTAAGCATGCCACATCTTTTAGATGACTAACCGCTCTGCATTGTGCTACCTTTCAGCAAGCCGATTCAAATAAATTGGAGGCTTATTTGAAAGATGCATGCAAAAGAGCCTATTTGTTCACAGTGGAAAGGCATTGTAATTAGCATGAAATGCATGCTTTGTACTCTCTCTCTCTCTCTTCCTCTTTCCAACGTAACTGGTAGAGATACTGGATAAGCACCTTCTCACCACCCTCTCTCTCACTCTATGCCTCCTTTTGCATTGTGGCCAATTACTGTTACAGATGGAAAATTTCACTTGACCCGGGGATTTTATGAGCAGGAATAAAATCGCACTTCAACTTTTACACCAATTCAAAGCAATGTGGTTAAAGTTTCTTGAGGCTGATGAAGACATGATGAAATTGGGCACATATGACAACTTGGCCAAATGACAAAGAGCTGATGAAACACTGAGACAAACCTGGTAACTGTTTTAAGCAGCATCAGATTGCAAACAGAGCTGCATTACGGGGCTGAATAATTTGAGAGGGGGGTAGTGTGTCGTGTCTAAGTGTGCATGTGTGTCTGTGTGTGTTTGGGGGGGAGGGGGGTATCATTGTTTAAACTTCATAAAAAACTGTTATTTTTGACTGCCACAATGATGTTCTCTCCTGCTGTTATACAAGAGAGTCAAGTTAGTGACTGATCACAGGCCTAACAGTGCGCGTGTTACATCACTGACAAAACATTACAAATCATCAACTGTGTTTTACATAACCTCATAAGCTCTAGTTGCAAGAGTTATTAAACTTCAGCTTTGTTCTTATTCACAGCTCGGACACGGTGGCGTTTGTATACAAATGCGAGGAAGCGAACAGATCAACATGTAAACAATGCAAATACATCATGCAACCTGGCAGTGGGCAGATAAAACTGTAGTGCACAGTATGACAGTCAAGAGTTTAACTGATGCCATGGGTAAGATAAGTGCACAACACGGCGCAACGCTGACAATGAATAGATTCATACGGAACAGATAGTGAGCTGTCCATTCCTCTTTCTGCTTGTGCATGCTTTTTTCCCCTGAAATGTTAATGAGGAATATGATACTTGGAGCTCATTCTAAGAACTGCTTGCAAATGCAGTGAACAACATGAACTGAAGGCGGTTTGAAAATGAGGTTAAATACACAGCAGTTAACCAAAAGACCAACAACCATTTCTTTATCGTGTTGTCATTTTATTTAACTGCATGACGTGGCCGGTCATGAAGAAGAGCAGGTACCTGACAGCCTACATCTTTTTTTGTTTAAATCACATTTGAACTGTAATGGCAGGATGTTGAGAAACACGGAACCCTAAAGGCAACAGCGCCCATGACTGTGGAGCACATCAGTCTGGTGAGAGTTTAGCAGTGCGACGAGGCAGGTTTGAGCTGGACAAAAAGTAACACTGTGCCGCTACACTTGTCCTGTGCTCCCGTTTCCTTTCCTAATGAACAACTACAAAGTTTGCGGCAAGAGAGGAAAGTACTGATTAGGCGGAAAGAGAACTCTGATTCAAGGAAGGAGGAAGTGAGTAAGGGGAATTCTAATTAAATCAACTTAATATCGGTCAGAGTTTCAATAATTAAGCTAAAAACAGTGCACTAGTGGTTCCAGTCCCAACGTGATCGCACAACACAAAACAACACTACGGCGCGAAACGGGAAGGATTTCTCACCTTATTGAAGTTGTAGTAGCCCAAACAGTGGGCAAAATCCAGGTTTGGTGGATCTCCCGGAATAGAATTTCCACCGGCAGTCGGATAAAATCTTACATCCATGGTGTGTGAGGGAGCCGCGCAGCTGTAGTTGTAGCCTGCTCTGCACGGAGCTCAATTTGTTTCTGCCGTTTACAATCCAAGCGCACAGATAGATGGAGAAAGAAAGGCGGCGAAACTGACCCAAGCTTTGTTGGGTTAAACGAGATATTACGGTAAGAGAAAGGGGGACAGGTAAAGTTTGGATATTCCTCTTTTTACACCTTACACCAGTCGCTTCATTTCTGTGGAAATCCACATGAACGCTGGACTGAGCCCAGGAAGCTGTCCCTCAAAGAGCAGCAGACGCTGTGTGCCCATGCATTTACACACAGCTGCTGCTGTATACAAAGAAGCCACGAGACCGGCGAGTGAGCGTGGGTCCACCTCCTTTTTCCTCCTTCAGACGCAGAGAGGGGGAAGGAAAGGGGGAAATGAAAACTCTAGGAAAGTGGTAATAAATACCACGAAGTAAAGTCCGCGCGTCAGGATAGCGCTCAAAAACGTGCCCGCGTCCTCCGCCGTGTTTCGCAGAAGTTTATTTTTCCAACTTGTAAAACTAGTTGGTGAAGCAGTTTGAGGAAGGAGCAACTAGCTGGCCGCTCGAGCCCATCTGCTAAACACAGGTTTTGTACAACAAGCTGAACAACACACCACAGATGGTGCAATTAGTGAATGTGATGTACTACACTGAGTATCTCCGTTCAGCCTTCGGCTCTGCCTGTCGTAGTGATGAACAAGGCAAAATGTGTGAACAAGCCAGCCACTCCCCAAACACACTAAGCCACTCCCATGAAAACACTGCATTTAAGTCCATGCGACATGTTGGCATATGATAATTAATCATAATTATGAGTCTGGATGTGTATATTTTCTTAGCATACCTTTTTATGCCCTTTTAAACGGTGACTTTTATAATGAATGGCAGGTTACATCCAAATGTAATTTTACATCTTACTCTGCTTTTACTCTGCATTACTCTGCCAAAGCCAACAGGTACGATAGCTCCTGCAGTTTTTCTCCCGTTTGTTTTTCCTTGATTCTGCGAATTTTAACCTTCAGTTTAGTTTTTCACTATGAAGTTTTTCCTCCCACTGCTACTGTATTTCATGTTAATGCATATTTTATACACGTTTCTGTCTGTGGCAGTTTGTCACATATGTTTTCAGAACTGACAAGTGTTTTTGATTTTCAAGTCATATTGGTACTGGTCACAGGGCACCGAACAATATACATAAGTAGACAAAAATGATACACCAGGTCGACATTAATCCATAGTTCAATGATTGAAGAAAACTTTACCTTTCCTAAGCTGGAAGCTTGCAAAAAGAGATGAAAAAATATAATCAAAATATACTTTTTTCTGGTTGGTAACTTCTACACAAAATATTATAGCAATAGCAGAAGGTTCTGTGGATTCAAAACATTTAACAAGGTTTTAAATAGGGCTAAACTGTTCAACACCATATATGAACTTCGATAGCTTTACTTTAGACAAGTAAAGATCTTAAAACTGGTTAGTATTATGGTATAAACAACTTGAAAAAGAAAAAGGCAAAACAACTACAGATTTATCCCAAACAATCAGAAAACTGCTTTTTGCTGTCAGTAGTGAAGTGTCTTTTCAACTGGTTAAATTCCCATGGTAAGATAAGTTGAACTAGTTGGAAGTTTTGGTTTAAAATTGGCTGGAAGCACCATATTTTCACTAATCTTTTATTTACAGCATGTTTTAAGTGCAGTACAGAGTCTCCGCTGGGCAAATATGTTTTAAAAGTGCAGGTTGTGAAATGACAACTTACAAGCATTACAAATGAAGCACAGCTGTAAAGTTACAACAGTGCAAACTGTCCATTGCATTGTCCATGGAATGTGCATGTTTTCAGCTGGTAATGCAGAAAATGTATACATTTTAAAATTTTGTTCGTTTGTTCGTTTGTTTGTTTTACTTGATTCTAATCTTCTGCTCATTCTCTTTTACATTGCTGAATACACAGCAGAGAGCAGAGAACACACAGCAATACAATTTAATCTGTAAAATGAATTTCACTGTAATCTGCTGACAAACTAAAGAGATTTCCACATCTCCTTTATTATGTTATGTGACAGCAACCTTTTAATGTTTAAATGGCTCCAGTTTGGATGGATCCACACAGAGCTCTAATGTGTAGTCATCATGTTAGAAACAAACAGCAGTACAAAGCGCTGGCTCGGGGTTCAAATAATTAAATTGAAATAATCTCTTATGTTATTTTCAACAGCATTACATTTTATTGTTCGACATATTTATGCTCTTTATAGATTTTTATGGCTATTTTCATCATCTCTGGTAACATTTGTCTGATAACTTGAAGTAGGCTATGCTCATAGGGATCGTTTGTGCATGCAATGCCCCTTTTTATGTGAGTGTATACAGAGCCTGAAACAGAAAGCTTTGCTTAACAGAGAATGTTGATAACCACCATCAGTTTTGTCGAGTCAGCTAACGCAAAGAATTCCTGGCTGTGTTGAACTTCCCACCCAATATACCATCTGGTGTGGGCTAGCCCACCCACAAAGCTTTTTGCTCACTCAATACACACCAAATCAAAACTTACAAAAAGTATTTTTTGTTAGTTTGTTTTGTTCACCTAGTGGAAATAATAATAATAACAATAGTAATACACAAAACAGGAGTACCATTTCTAACTTCTTACTGAGTGGGAAGTCCACAGGCCAGCTCCAAAATCTCCTGCTGTACACCCTTTTAACGTCGTCATAGGTACATATGCACAGAGGTTTAATAAGCCCGCTTGTAAAAACTGATGACTCAACATGTTGTTTATGTTATATTTTTATTTTTCTGTCTCAATTTAAGCATAGGTCTGGTTTACAAGTAGCTTTTGCAATGCTAAGATGTGTTGTGACACTCTCTCTTGCTCTCCCTTGGTTAAGCTAACACTTTTAACATAGCGTAGATCTTTACTGACATACTTTGGTGGGAGAAAAAGAGCTTCTGTGTCTTTATTTGCATTTCTGATTTGGTGCAGGGCACTATAAGAGGGCCGAGTATTGTTTGCATTTACTAGCTTTTCAATTAGATGTGTAGAAAGTGTTGAATTATTATTAATATTCTTATATATTTGAATAAGCAGCATAATACGCTCTTTAAGTAATGAAACAAATTTCTCTGAAAGATGCCTATATTTACATGTGAGCTAAAGGGTAAGTAATTTAGTAAACAAATTATATTATATGTTTCAATGAATATGAATTTTATCTGTATTGTCTTGTTTTTATTGTCAGTGTTTTAAGTGTAAAGTAGGCACAAAAAATCTCACAAGGTTGTTTTTACAGATTTTGGAGAGTCTGTCTCTGCAATATAATTTTCAGTGTTCTTCAGCCTGTAGAAACTATCCTACAGCTGCTACATATGGACTAGAACAAAGTAGTTTTCTAAATATCACTTTAACATCGTGTAAGATTGTTTATTATGTTTATTTTTTCCCATGCAGAAAGACACTATTCCCAGACAGAGAACCCAGTATTTGAACAGGGACTCAAACCAGCAACTTGAAGGTTACTAGTTGGCTGCTCTGACCTCTTCAAGTTGCCCATCTATTATTTCTAACACAGGATACAAGAAATCCACCCTGAACGTAAGTTACCAAATTTTCTTGCCAGTGATTTCTTAAAGTCTGCACTGTTACAAAAAAGTAAATTTTTCAATGAAAATAAAGATTCACGGTTAGGGTTTTTGATTTGAGGAAGGGTTTTCTTGGTTCTGGCTTCTGTCAAGCTTCACTTAACCATACTGACATAATGAATGAGTCTACACATGAATAAATGCACAGCCTGAAACTCATTATGTCCATTGTATTCACAAATTAATAAAAAAGACAAAATCATTTGTTTGATTTGAGATTGATAAACTAACCAGTAGCTGAAACTAATTATCACACACAGCTTCTGTCAGTGAGATTAAAGAGGGGACTGCCATTCTTCCAATGTCACCTTCAAACATAAAGACTAATATATAATTAACAACTAATCACTGATAAGAAGAAATACTAAGGAGCAAAAAAATAACTATTATTCTACCAAACATCCTCCTGAATTTGTGTGTACACATACGTGCACCTTTACTCTTTTGTTTTTGTTGTAATCAAATAAAACAACATTTTTATTGAAGTTGATTATTGCAGTGATGATTCAACCAGACACATACTTTATGTATCCCTGGCCACTTTACACTATCTTGTCCACTTCACCGCTTTGTTGCGTTGCTCTACTCGAAACACTTACTCTGTCCTTGCAGTCTGTGCTACCAGCACACACTTCTCAGTTTCTAAGTAAGAAGACAAGACGGTGCAAGTGTTACTTTTAGGATGGTGCAGGAAGCTGTTATTTCCAGCTAGAAAATCAAAGACATTTTTGAGCAGTACCCCATAGCAGTGGGAGGGAGTATGTGTATGTAAGGAATCCATAGTTTACACCTATGAAAAATTCTTTGGAGAAGAAGACCATGCTTTATACATTAGTAAAACAAAAATGTTATAGGAATCTGAATTTACAACTAAAGAGAGGGTTAAAGTGAAACTTTAGGGACCTACTGCTCACTAGAACTCTAGTTGTGCAGTAAGGACATAAAAAGTTATTCAGCTGTCACAGTCATCTCTGTACTGACAAAAGAAGACATCAGAATCAAGCAGAGAATTAATCCTCCGTGTGAATACATAAGCCAGATTTTGTCGTTATGTCATATTTGTCTGCAAGTGTCAGGTTAGCTTTATTTCCCATTAAATCTCTGCTTTTTCTTGGATTCTCTAAATGAACACGGTCTACTTAATCACTGTCTCGTTAAAAGTGTAGATTACAATAACACAACTTTTTGTTTTATACATTTTCTTTCGGTGCTTTTTCAGTTATGTTCAGTTGTTCGTTGATGTAAAATAGAATATTACATGAAACATGTTAAACTCTGAAGCTTGCTACGGCACATTATTAATAATTATTCCTGCATGTCACACGCTAGTTAAGAAAATAGTGAACGCGCCAATGTCCTATACAGTACATCACTGTAACACAATAATAGCTTTTTTCCACTTTCTGTCATCTATATTATACTGCATTTCTTTACATATTCGATAACATTATATAATTATATATAATTTGTCTTTCCTAGATAGGATGCATTTGAGGAGCTGTTATGAAACAGAGAAAAACCCTATGCAAGTGGGATGCGTGTTGGCATGTACTATATGCAAGCTTAATCAATGACATACAGTGCTAAACTCTGCTGTGCTGCATTGGAGGAGATAATCCTCATTTGAACGCTCTCCAATGCTTGCTTAGAGATGGTCAACAATCCATGATAGTCGCCAGGAAATCTACTTTGTAATTATGGACACATTGATGCATATGCACACCATTTTTTCGTCATGTTCTCGTTTGATAGTGGCTCTTGCATGCATAACGAAGCAATGCCTTCACATACAACACACACTGATACGCCCACCAATCAAATCTCATTCACTCATGCACATACAGGCACATAAGAAAAACCCACGCAGTCTCCCACACACCACATATCAGATAAGCAAGCTCCCAATTCAGCCTGGTTGCTGTTGTTATTTATTCCTGTTTTTAATGTTGTTTGGCTGTGCAGCCAGGCAGTGGAATTAATTTCCTTTCTGATGGTTGAGTATCAGTGTCTCAGCCAGATGAATTATGCTTTTCTACTATATGCGATTTCCTCTCAGCCTGGCAACACTGGAACCATTTGGTAAC